AAATGTTTTTATCTCTATTTTTTTTCTCTTTGAGCTCTGGCACCTCTACAAATCCCTACTTCCCTCTGCGAAGGGCCTTTCTTTTACTTTATGCAATTTTTATTTTTGAAATTGAGTCTCCATCCTCTCTTGTAAAAGCACCAACTAGGGGACAATATGATCGTACTTAAGTATTGGGTGTAGCTAATATTCGAGTTTGTTTCATGAATGGATCAATGTTTGAGCATGATGGGCTAGGGATAACTTGTTTAACATTGATATTTTGAAAGACACGGTTGCTTGTTGATATGCTTGAGTATCTAAATTATTATGTCAAAACTAGACTATTTCTTTGAATCACATAAAGGTCCAAATGTCCATGCTATGAAAAAGAGAATATGATATGACATGATAAACAACACCCCACATCAAAAATTCTGTTTTATCACTTACCTACTCAAGGACAAGCAGGAGTTAAGCTTGGGGATGCTGATACGTCTCCAACGTATCTATAATTTTTTATTATTCCATGTTGTTTTATTATCAATCTTGGATGTTTTATAATCATTATATAGTCATTTTATATCATTTTTTGGTACTAACCTATTGACATAGTGCCAAGTGCCAGTTGTTGTTTTCTAAATGTTTTTTACATCGCAGGAAATCAATATCAGAAGGGGTCCAAATACCACGCCAATTTATGATGATTTTTTATGGACCAGAAGGAACACAATGGGCCCTGGTTGCACCTGGGGAGAGTCCCGAGGAGGAGACAACCCACCTGGGCATGCTAGGAGGCCCAGGCGCGCCCAGGTGGGTTGTGCCCACCTCGGGTGCCCCCTGGACCGACTCTTTGCTTTATAAATACCCCAATATTCCAAAAACCCTAAAGGAGTCGACGAAATTTTCATCCAGCCGCCGCAGAGTCCAGAACACGGAGATCCAATCTAGACACCATCACAGAGGGGTCACCACTTCCATTGGTGCCTCTCCGATGATGCGTGAGTAGTTCTTTGTAGACCTTCGGGTCCGTAGTTAGTAGCTAGATGGCTTCCTCTCTCTCTCTTGATTATCAATACAATGATCTTTTGGAGATACATATGATGTAAGTCCTTTTTGCGGTGTGTTTGTTGGGATCTGATGAACTTCGAGTTTATGATCAGTTATATCTTTTTATATCCATGAAAGTTATTTGAGTTCTTTGATCTCTTATATGCGTGATCTCTTATAGCCTCGTATTTCTTCTCCGATATTTGAGTTTTGTTTGGCCAACTTGATCTATTTATCTTGCAATGGGAAGAGGTGCCTGGTAGTGGGTTCGATCTTACGGTGCTTGATCCCAGTGATAGAAAGGGAACCAACACGTATGTATCGTTGCTACTAAGGATAAAAAGACGGGATCCATATCTGCTGCAATAGATAAAAGGATCTTGTATACATCATGTCATTGTTCTTATTGCATTACTCCGTTTTTCCATGAACTTAATACACTAGATGCATGCTGGATAGCGGTCCATGTGTGGAGTAATAGTAGTAGATGCACGCAGGAGTCGGTCTACTAATCTTGGACGTGATGCCTATATAATGATCATTGCCTGGATATCGTCATGATTATTTGAAGTTCTATCAATTGCCCAACAGTAATTTGTTCACCCACCGTTTGCTATTTTTCTCAAGAGAAGCCACTAGTGAAACCTACAGGCCCCGGGTCTTCTTTCACATATATTAGCCTTGCGTTCTACTTTTTCCTTGAATTTATTTTTAGATCTATTAAACTAAAAAATACAAAATACCTTGTTGCAATTTATTTGTTCCGCGGTCTATTTATCCCATCTACAAATTTACCTCACGTCCTTTGCCTATCTTGAGGCGCCGTACCCCGAAAGAGATTGACAACCCCTTTAACACATCAGGTTGCGAGGTGTTGTTATTTGTGTGCAGGGGCTGTCTTACATTGTGTTGCTTGGTTCTCCTACTGGTTCGATAACTTTGGTTTCATATCTGAGGGAAATACCTACCACCGCTGTGCTGCATCATCCCTTCCTCTTTGGGGGAAAAACCGATGTAGCTTCAAGCGACATCAGTTAGTTGCGGGATGATGCATTACAGAACGAGTAAAGAGACTTGCCGGTAACGAGATTGAACTAGGTATGAAGATACCGATGATCGAATCTCGGGCAAGTAACATACTGATGACAAAGGGAACAACGCATGTTGACATAGCGGTTCGACCGATAAAGATCTTCGTAGAATATGTAGGAACCTATACGAGCATCTAGGTTCCGCTATTGGTTATTTACTTGAGAGGTGTCTCGGTCATGTTTACATAGTTCTCGAACCCGTAGGGTCCGCACTCTTAACCTTCGATGACGATATGTATTATATGAGTTATGTGTTTTGGTGACCTAAGGTTGATCGGAGTCCCGAATGAGATCACGGACATGACGAGGAGTCTCGAAATGGTCGAGAGGTAAAGATTGATATATTGGAAGGTGGTATTCGGACACCGGAATGGTTTCGAAGTGTTTCAGGTATTTATCGGAGTACCGAGGGGTTACCGGAACCTCCCGGGGGAAGTAATGGGCCATATGGGCCATACGGGAGAGGCAAGGCAGCCCACAAGAGGGTGGCACGCGCCCCCATGGGGAGTCCGAATTGGACAAGGGGAGGGGGCGCGACCCCCCTTTCCTTCTCCCTCTCCCTCTCCTTCCCCCATTCTCCCTCCGTTAGAAGGAAGGGGGGCAATACGACTAGGAGTCCAAGTGGGATTCCTCCCCACTTGGCGCGCTCTAGGCCGGCCTCCCCCCCTCTCCCTCCTTTATATATGGGAGGGGGCGCTCCTAGGAGACACACCAATTTGCTCTTAGCCGTGTGCGGCGCCCCCCTCCACAGTTGACGCCTCCGGTCATATTCTCGCGGTGCTTAGGTGAAGCTCTGCCCAGATCACATCACCGTCACCGTCACCACGCCATCGTGCTGACGGATCTCATCTACTCCTTTGACCCTCTGCTCGATCAAGAGCTCGAGGGACGTCATCGCGCTGAACGTGTGTAGAACTCGGAGGTGTCGTACGTTCGGTACTCGATCAGTCAGAACAAGAAGACGTTTGACTACATCAACCGCGTTGAGCAAACGCTTCCGCTTTCGATCTACGAGGGTACGTGGACACACTCTCCCCCTCTCGTTGCTATGCATCTCCTAGATAGATCCTGCGTGAACGTAGGAATTTTTTTGAAATTGCATGCTACGTTTCCCAACACCCTCCCCCTCCCCGCACGCTAGGATTAAAAATGGCCATCCGCCATTGCTGACGCGTGGGCCCGCGATCTGCGGTCGTGATAAATAAAGACGCGGGAGGTAGTTGACCGGTCGCCATGTGGGGACGCAGCAGACAATGAGAGGACGCATGGCATGTCCGCTTCGCGTCCGCGTTGATGCATTTCAGGCCGAAATTTGGGCCAAAAATGGGTTGGCGCAGACGCGAAGCAGACACGTTTTGACAATGGGTCGGCGCGTTGGGCCAGCACTTTTGTCCGCGACGACCCAAACGCACAACGGTGGACGAAACGGGTCGCCGCGTTGGAGTTGCTCTCAGGATAGGGCCGGAACGGTTTTTCACTAAATGTTTGAAAATCTGCCATGTTTATATGAACGTCGTCCGGTTTATATGAAATCCGTTGTTTTACATGAATTTTGTCCGGTTAGTTCAATTAGTTGTTGAAATATATGCCGGCAACGTTGGATGACGGTCTTAAACATCAATGTCGGTGGACTGGTCCCCTATTCGTGGACGGATGCCGAAACAAATTGGTAGGTTAACGTTGGAGATGCCCTGATAAAACTGTTGCTATTTGCGATAATTCATTTCTGAGCCCAGACTCATCTGCACCCGTGCCGACAAAAAAATTCAAAACAAATACTAGAAAAATTCAAACAATTCCAAACTTTTTTGTGTAATAGATCATTTAATGCGTGTGGTTCGCTCCAATTTTCAAATCATTTGAAAATCTCAGCAGCTCTCGGCAAAAAATACAAATTTGGGGTATGTAAAAAAGTTTACTGTTCACGCACTGTTTTGGCCTGATTTGTCTTTTTTGCTGAGAGCTGCTCAGATGTTCAAATGATCTCAAAATTGAAGCGAACCTCACACATCAAATTATCTACTACACAAAAATAATCAGAATTTTTGAATTTTTCTAGTATTTGTTTTGAATTTTTTTTCTATCCGGATGTAGATTAGTCTGGGCACCGAAACGCCGCACTCTACTATTTGTTTATACTTGAGCTCAGCGAATGTTTCCAACACCTGCCAGAGCCACCGGCAATGAGCAGTAAAGACAAATAACAAAAGGTTACGATGGTGTGCAGTGAGCAAATCACATGAGCATCGAGATCCAGTGGCCTCACGAGCTGAACATTCTTGACAAGAACACAGAATTACAGAGCGATGCGCGGTGAAAAGCTTAGAGCATGCTTGGATACGTTTTAGTTCCATGATTAAAAGTAGTGGGACTAAAACTTGCTAGTCTCACTCATGCTTGGATCCAAATACTAAAGAGATTAAAATCTAGTTATTGAGCATTTATTATCCTCCAAACCCTCCAATCCAGAACTAAGGAGAGGAATTAAATGAGGAGAGAGAGAGTTAATACATATTTTAGTAGGTTTCTCATGACTAAAAGATTTTAGAGACTAGTCCTAGCCTCTCTTTAGTCAGGGGTGCTTGGAACTTTAGCCTCTAAAAAAGACTATTTTTAGTCTGACTAAAAATAGTCTCTTGTATCCAAGCACCCTCTTAGATGTTTACGGGTGACTTTTACTCGTAATCACCACCTAATCCGCGCACAGTAGATCAAATCAAACGGGACGCGCTATTCACACCCGTGTCCCCGCCTGGCTACCTAACGGGCAGGGCTACCAGCTCAGTGAGTGACCACACTGACCAAGCCAGAGTGAAGTGGGCACTGAGCAGTGAGCACAGGGCGGGTGGGTGCTTGCCGAAGCAGAGCGAGGAAGGAGCAATGGGGGTCCGCTCGGCGGCCACGAAGCTGCACATCCCGCCAGCCCACTCCGCCGCCCGGCGCTCCTTCTTCCTGCCGGTCGCCGCCGTCGCCCTCCTCTGCTCCGCCTCCTACCTCCTGGGCGCCTGGCACCACGGCGGCGGCTTCTCCCCTTCCTCCCCCTCCCGCTCCGTCACCATTGCCACCGACATCTCCTGCACCACCACCACCCTCACCCCCTCCACCACCACCACCACCACCGCTCAGTCCCTCGACTTCTCCGCGCACCACGCGGCGGCGGTCGACGCCGTGGCGTCCAGGGCCGCGTCCTCGGCGTCCTCGGCGCCGCGGAGGTACCCGGCGTGCCCGGCCGAGTACTCGGAGTACACGCCGTGCGAGGACGTGAAGCGGTCGCTGCGGTACCCGCGGGACCGGCTGGTGTACCGGGAGCGGCACTGCCCCTCGGGGCGCGAGCGGCTGCGGTGCCTGGTGCCGGCGCCGGCCGGGTACCGCAACCCGTTCCCGTGGCCGGCCAGCCGCGACGTCGCGTGGTTCGCCAACGTGCCGCACAAGGAGCTCACCGTGGAGAAGGCGGTGCAGAACTGGATCCGCGTGGACGGGGACAAGCTCCGGTTCCCCGGCGGCGGGACCATGTTCCCGCACGGCGCCGACGCCTACATCGACGACATTGGGAAGCTCATCCCGCTCCACGACGGCTCCATCCGCACCGCGCTCGACACCGGCTGCGGGGTAAGTTACCAAGCTTCTGAATCTTAATTGGCTCTGATTGCGTAACTAGGTTTAGAATGGATTGCTTCCTCGAAACCAGCTTAGTTCTTGTGGTAGTATTACACTATTACTACATCTGGAGTAGTGAGAAATGGAAACGCGAACATTTCTTGCTCAACCGAGGTCAAACAGGTCTGTCAGACACTCTCAGATTGTAGCAGAGAACAAACTGCAGAATGTTGAAAACATATTACATGGGGTGAATTAATTAGTAATAACACATTTGTTCAATTTTTCAATATTTGAATCTGCTTGTCACTTGACTGGTCAGTTCTCAGCTGCCACTCATTAAAAAAAACTTGACCTGTCACTTTTCAGCTGGTGCCACAAAGTTATTGGCCCTGTTTGGATCACGGGGTTAGAGCTAGTTTGGGTTAGTTGGGGGCTCAAATAAGCCAAAAGTATCCAAACGGAAAGGGTTAGAGTGGGTTAGTTCCATCTAACCCAACTATCCCGGTGAAGAGGTGCTTATTTGAGTTAGAATGGGTTAGAAAATAACTCTAACTCTAACTGTGTTAGAGTCCAAACAGGGCCATTGACAAAAATATCGTGGCCTTTTTTCAACGAATGCACAGTAGCACAATTATGGGCACTGCCAGTCTGCACCTGTGACACCGTTCAAGTGTCGTCTATCTTTTCAGTAACGTTTTTAGGGTACCTTTTTTTTGCGATCAAATGTACCGCCTTCACGTGCATTCGCTGATCCGCATACGGCTGAATTTTAGTACCACTTGCCTTCACAGACGCGACCTCCTATCTGAACTCTGAAGTAATTCCGTAGGAAGAAACTTTCCACTTTCGACCTCAGAACAAGCCAACCGTGGTGGTAGTATTACGTAGCATGGGAATGGCACGTAGTAGTGGTAGCATTTCTTTGTCTCTGATGCGTCGTGAGCGGGCGTGCTGCAGGTGGCGAGCTGGGGCGCGTACCTGCTCTCCCGGGACATCCTGGCCATGTCCTTCGCGCCGCGGGACTCGCACGAGGCGCAGGTGCAGTTCGCGTTGGAGCGCGGCGTCCCCGCCATGATCGGCGTCCTCGCCTCCAACCGCCTCACCTACCCGGCCCGCGCCTTCGACATGGCGCACTGCTCCCGCTGCCTCATCCCCTGGCACCTCTACGGTACGCCCCACCGTCATCTCTTCACCGAAACGCAATTCCATTCCACCCCTGGTCACTCAGCTCAGGCGTGCGCTGTGAAAAAACGTGCAGATGGATTGTACCTGATCGAGGTGGACCGTGTCCTGCGCCCCGGCGGGTACTGGATCCTGTCCGGGCCGCCCATCAACTGGAAGAAGTACTGGAAGGGGTGGGAGAGGAGCAAGGAGGACCTCAACGCCGAGCAGGAGGCGATCGAGGCGGTCGCCCGGAGCCTTTGCTGGAAGAAGATCAAGGAGGCCGGCGACATCGCCGTCTGGCAGAAACCCGCCAACCACGCCGGCTGCAAGGCCTCCCGCAAGGCCGCCAAGTCGCCGCCCTTCTGCTCCAAGAAAAATGCCGACGCAGCATGGTAATTATTAATTACAGCACCGCATCGAGTCATCAACATTTTGGTCAATCAAATCAATGGCACACTTACTTACTTACTAGTTTCATTGTTGTAATTCACCTCTCACGGTAGGTACGACAAGATGGAGGCCTGCGTGACGCCGCTACCGGAGGTCTCCGACGCGAGCGAGGTCGCCGGCGGCGCGGTGAAGAAGTGGCCGCAGAGGCTCACGGCCGTGCCGCCCAGGGTCTCCCGGGGCACGGTCAAGGGCGTGACGGCCAAGGCGTTCCTGCAGGACACGGAGCTGTGGAAGAAGCGGGTCCGCCACTACAAGGCGGTGATCAACCAGTTCGAGCAGAAAGGACGGTACCGGAACGTGCTCGACATGAACGCCCGCCTCGGCGGTTTCGCGGCGGCGCTGGCGAGTTACCCGCTGTGGGTCATGAACATGGTCCCGAACGTGGCCAACTCCAGCGCACTCGGGGTGGTCTACGAGCGCGGCCTCATCGGAAGCTACCAGGACTGGTTAGTCCTCTACCACAGGGCACATCAATCGTACCACTACAAGGCCCTACCACAGTGATCACCAGCGGTGTGCCGGTGTCGGTGTCGGCGTCGTGGTCTCGCAATGGTTTCTGATCTCGTTGCATCCATTAATTTACTGCAGGTGCGAGGGCACGTCCACCTATCCACGGACCTACGATCTCATCCACGCCGACTCGGTGTTCACTCTGTACAAGAGCAGGTAACATACATACATGATCCGCATCAAAACTCCCCTGTAATTAACTTGCGTCAGTGTTCACCCTCTCTGACGATGGGCCGGCTTGCGACTCTGCAAGATGTGAGATGGACACCATTCTGCTGGAGATGGACAGGGTCCTGAGGCCCGAGGGCACGGTGATCATCAGAGACGACGTGGACATGCTGGTGAAGGTCAAGAGCGTCGCCGACGGGATGAGGTGGGACAGCCAGATCGTCGACCACGAAGACGGCCCGCTCGTCCGGGAGAAGATCCTCCTGGTTGCCAAGACGTATTGGACTGCCAAGAACCAAGACCAATAGCACCAGTAGTATAGCATCTATATAGTATTGCTCATAAGCACATTGCTCAGAAGATCTCAAAGTTGGATCGCCATTTGTTGTAGCCCCATGAACTGCCTATTTTATGCTCTTTATTTATGTCTTTATATAGGAATTCGTCTCCAAGTAAGTTGTAAAACACAGCATCATTTGTATGTGTCACTTGATCGCTAAATTGCATCAAGTGATTAATAGAAGTACTGTTTGCGAGTTACTCCCTCTATCAAAATATAACATGTTTTTTGATACTACGACTGTCAAAAAACGTCTTCTACTTTGATACGGAAGGAGTATTTAAAATCCAGCTTGGCTATGTGTTCAGAAAAGTTAACTAATGAGCAACACTGGATTCAGGTTTTATTCATAGCCGACTTGGGCTTTCAGATCTCGCAGCTGTGTGAGGCCATATGCCTTTTTTCTTCTTCAGATCTCGCAACTGTGCGAGGCTACATGCTCAGGATGCCCGACCGGCGACAAAATGGGGACCGTCTCAGAAGCGCTAGGGGGGATAATGGGGTCATGAATTGAATTGATACAGACATATTGACAGGGCAGGAGGCCTCTCTAAAGTCTAAAGAGTCTGATCTGAAGCTCTCCCATTGGCCCATACATCCACATATTTTGGACAGTACGGAGAAGTGTCCAAACACTCACAGCTAACAGTTGTAACAGCAAGGCCAACAGTTTTGCAGTACATGAACAGGTTAGTTTGTTCCGTCCTGACTTGAACTGTTTTTACGGTCCGGTGATTAAACTTTTTATTATCCTGGGCTGCTTTTCCTGGGCCCGTGGATCCTTGTTGAGTAGGCATGTTGATGCAAGCCAGACCTCCCAATTCGGCCCATTTTGAATGTGAAAAACTTCACATTTTTCCGTTTCAAAAAAAAAAACTTCACATTTTGAAAACCGGGTGATGCGCAGGTGGGGATTCTTTTTTGTTTTGTTTTGTAACGGCAAGAGTAAAAGTATTTGCATTAAAAAAATCCACCTGCATAATGACTTAGTGGCTGGCAAGCGCGGCGGGGGCGCGATGAAGGCGATCAGGGCTCTTCAGTCGTTAATTAAGACTTTGTTGGCTCAGAGAGCTGCGTACGTGGTGCGGCGGCCGGCCGATTTGCTTTGCATTTCTGCCCGGTTTTCGACTGTAATTGCAAACTGAGGTTTTCAGTGGGTGTGGCGTCTGTTACAAGATTTTGTGGCTTTATATGAACCACCAGGCGAAAGTCTTTGGGTCTAAAGAGGAGCATAGCATATGAAGCACCAGCAAGTTGACACATTTTCTTGTTGCTTCAAGTGTCCATGCATGCGCATGCATCCGAGGTTTTCCCTTGACCAGTCTATCGACAAAACCCAACTGCAATTCTTGTCAGGTCATTGCCTTTGGAAACATGGCACCTCTCAACTTGCACCTCGGTTGATCTTTCAGAAAGGGAACGAGATGGGCTGCTGGCTGCTGCTACCTGCGAACGATGCCAGCCAATAAAACAGAATAAGAAAATTGGCCCGAAATCCCTGAAATATCAACTTTTTGGGTGTTCATAGGCACGAACGTTGTCTGCATGTCTGTGCTAGGAGTCATAGGTGACAACTCATGCAAACCAAGTACAGTATGTTCTACGGATTCTACGGTAGCTAGCAATCAGCATAATCTCTCCAAACTGCCAACTCGACAGTTACAGACATCCAGACAGTATAACATGGTTTGTCATATTCATGTGAGTTTAGCGCAGACTGGCATATGGACAAGCTGTAACAAGGGCGAAGAACAATTTAGTTGCCAGGAACGGCAAGTGATAGTATTACTACACTAACACCCCGTCCGTCTTGTCTTGTGTTTGGTTAGCAACATTTCTTTTGAGCAAATTCTGCCTTTCCCCCCTTAGTTGTGATCTTGTGGCAACGCCTATCATGTCTTAAGTGTTGACATATAATGTGCTGCCTAGTCTCTTTCATCAGATCGATCTTTTGATTGCATTGGCCAGAGCATGCACTTCTACATGGTATCAGAGCCAAGAGGTCTCGAGTTCAAGACCCGGCTGGCGCAATTAAATTGTTTAGACTTGAGGGAGCCACACGTGAGGACGGGTGTTGACGTATAATGTGTTGTCTAGTCTCTTCCATCAGATCGGTCTTTTGGTTGCATTGGCTAGAGCATGCACTTTTACATTAAGAATTTTGTCGGTTTATTAGTGACTCTCTGACGGGGTTGTACTTAATTTTATTATTTTACCCAAGCTGACAAGGTGGACCCATGTGTCAGTGATGATGGGTCAAACGACTAGCTGAACAACTCAGTCTCAGTATGACACATGAGCAATGTGGTGAGCTAGTCATACCTGAACAGCAACAGTTTCATTGGAATTTGACTGAATATGATCAAGTTTGACATCATTTTATATTGCCTATTTTTTACAGGGAATTTTGTATTGCCTCTAACGAGTACGTGTTGGAATTTTCTGCCCAAATGGATCTAGCTTCTTAGTTGGGGAAAGTAACAAAATAGAATAAAAATTATCAGTGTCACAACTAAGAGGTAAACTATTGTCACGGGATCGTAGCTAGGGCGTAAAAATGCAACTAATTTTGTAGTAAAAATCATTGCACTCGTATTTATGAAAACCTAACGCGGGTGCCTCACGTGAAATCATCTGGACTTTATGGGTCAAAACGTTATAGCCACTTTAAAGAATCCAATAAGACAGTCAAAAGATCTATGTCTGAAATGTGTTGTGTTCGCCAAGCAAAAGAACACAGAAGTGCTTTTCAAGAAATAACAGGACATAGGCGCAGTTTCACGTGTACGTACCTATCTTTATTCCACCTTTACCACCATATGTCCCTTCCAATTTTATTCTCATACCCTGAGCAACATGCCAATTGTTTACTGCACGTTGAGTAACGTATAACCTTCTCTAAGAAGCTTATATCAGACTGACCGATGATCTTAGTGATCTTTGTGAGTGGGTTAACTTTTGGGTTTATGCTACGTAAGCTCAGTCAATAGTTAGCCACAACGCAGCACCATAGGCAAAAAAGAAAACAATTTATCCGTGTACGGTCTATGTATGCCCAGTTCCTGAGCTCGGATAGATGTTGCACGCATGATAAGCCTTCGGGTACACTGTTGAGGCATGCATGCATGCATGGATGTGGACGCATACGTTCTCATGAAGATGGCATTTGTGTGGTGCCGTGAAGTGCAGGCAGATATACGCATCCCGGTGGTTCTCATTAAAAGAAAAGGGAAAAAAACTCATCCGCTGAGGCGTTTAACTGGGTACTTTGACCGGTCCGTAACTGATCGAGGCTAGAGAGGGCTGACTTTGACCGCTTGGCTGGACACCTATCTACGCGGCTAAGCAAACGGATGGCGTATCCAGTTACACACGAAAACAAGAACGCAGCTTGTGCATTGATGTAATTAATCGAAATGCTCGTCGTTTGATAATCGTCTTTTTTCACTCCCGAAACGCCCCGGGCGCTACACGGTACTCCCTCCGTCTGGGTTTATTAGGCCTCTTAGCAACACAAGTATGTCCCTTTTTATAAGGTCTTTCTTTGGAAAGATGCATGCATGCAATCATTTCATTGGTTGCATTTCATTAGTTGCATTGAAAGTCATTGTTGTTGGTGCCATTGCTGAGAAATTAATACACTTCATGCGTGTTTTTTCATTGGCTGCATGCATGTGAGAAAGTGCATTGGGAGTGAAATGAAAGAATTAATTTTAGCAAATTACTAGGTGTCTTGGTCTAAGAAAAGTTGTCTTTAGGCCTAATAAATCCGGACGGAGGTAGTACCACATAGATCCACGGAAGCGCCTGCTTCTTCGAAATTTTGTGAATTGGACGCCGCAAATTAGGGGAGCTTACGGGTATCCAAACCGACGCCACGACCGCAATGTCTAATCCCAAAACGTTCTTCGCGCGAAGCGGTCGCTGCACATTCATGTCGGTCAGGCCACTCTAGAGCGGACCGACTCCACGGGGCTTGATGCTTGCAACTGAACCAATGGGCGACACCATTTCAATACCGACATGGCGACCAAGAAGCCTACTTTCGTCGGTGCGCCGCATTGAAGCCGGTTGCCCATCTGTTTGCTTGGCCACGCCTATTTGCGCACGGCTCCGGCGCCATCCGCACCACACCGCACCACTCCTCTCTGCTCACCGTCTCTCATCTCCTCTCCGTCTCCACTCACCACACATCCTCACCTCTCCGCTGCCCTTTGTCTCCACTCACCAGACATCCTCACCTCTCCGCTCACCGTATGATGCCAAAGTCATGGTTCTTCAGGCCAGCAGGCGAACAGATACTCCGGTTTGGGAGTCGATGTTGGAGATGCCCTTAGTACTTTTGTTCAGGAGTCCTATTCCCGGTGCAAAGGCTAGAGGTTGGAGTTCCGATACATAGAATATCTCCAAGATTTGGGCATAAGCCCGGATGATTCCCACGTGTAAGTTATACACGCCCACCTTGCCTTCGTGATCTTATATCAACCAATTGAAGATCTTTGTGAGATCTTAAACTAATCCATGGGTAACTGGTCTGAGGAAGGGGATCCACGGAACAAGAATAAGGTGCAGAATAATGATAGGATTATTGCTATACAGGTGTGGATGTAATCTAAGAATTGCTTGCGCTTGGCATCGATCTATCTACTCTAGTTGACAAATTCTCTAGCTAGATGTCCAGATCTCTTCGCTCTTGGATTGATCTCTTGTCGTCCTCAGACTGAGTATGGTCGCTGGGAAGCAATGACGCGATCAGCCTTTTCCCCCGACCGACCGATCGCCTCATGGCGATCTACACGAATATAACTCGTGGTCTACGCTTCTCCGGCTCGAGTTAACCAACCAGCCACGGAACAACGATGCATTTAAAGAACGGCGTGGATGGAGCTATGCGGATATGTTCTCCACTACGGGAGCAGGAGCGAGACTTGTTTTTACTAGCGCCACCTTTCACAGAGATACTAGCTAGATATGTGCCAATCTCCCTCAGTTAGCTGCTCAACTACACCTCTCCAAGACCGATCTTCGATCTTCGGTCAGCGTCAGTGGTGCCGGTGCCGGCCGTGTCACGGTTTCATACCTGCAGTCCGGTCGTGCGGAGCTGATCAATTCATTAATCAAAAATCAATGGGGAGAATTGATAGGACGGTGCAATACTCATCCGCGAACGAGCACACGTGTATGCATGCACGTACGTACGTAAGGAAGCAAGGTGCATGCATGAACATCTGGAGGAAGGCGACCCGGCCGGCCAGATCGATACGACCGACATGCATGCAGACGAAAATGGCGGCATGGATCCGAAGGAACGAGCGCGTACGTACGTGGCCGCACGTACGTGGAACCACCTGCCACGGACACACGCGCACACACACATAAACCTGACGTGACAATGCAAGTTCACGCGTGATCGACCGATCGTCCCAACGACGACAGGGCGTATGACGTTCATGGAAGATTCCGCGATCCATGCCGATCTG